GAGGACTACCAGTGAAAAACATTTAATGCAATGGGCTTGAATCTCCTTAAAGAGAGCGAGATATCCGCGCCTTAGCTAGAAGAGATTTTTGTTTCTTCATTTTTATTTTCAATTGTAATCTTGTAATATTATAATTTTCACTAACAAAAAATATTTGTGATATTAATTTTACCTTTATTAATTAAGAGTAATGCAAAGTTTATAAAATATTACGTTACAAAATGGATGAATTACCTATCCGTTCTAAATTACATTTTGTTAAGTGTGATGTAATGACTTTTAATGGCTAACTCGAATAGGTCATATACGAGGGAAAGAGCCCATAAAAGAGAGATCGGATGCCCTTTCCGATGCAGTTCAATGTCATTAACATTCCACATACGTTTCTTAGAAATTACTTCTTCTCTTTGAAACTCCTATTTTGCAAATCCTATATAAAGATGTATCTTGAGTGAGCATAACACTACACTACCAATATAAACAAAAAGAAGAGAAAAATGTTTTCCTCCTTTCTTCTTATTCTTAGAATAGTTTTGGGCAATTGGTTTTGGACAACCTCCAAACTCTCAGCCACGAGTGCACGTGTTTGAGGGTAACTGTGGAACCTTGGAGAGCGATCGGCTACAACGATTTGCACCGGAGTCGAGCTGAAATCGTTTTCAAGACAGTGGCTTGCCACGACACAATGTTTGTGATAAGTTGTTTACTACTTTATAATTCTAATCCATATCAATATTGTAGTATTTTCCCCAATAGTATCAACATTCACTATTATTAAGGAAGGCTTATATGTTCTTAATTGTTATTGTTCCAGGGCCAAACAATCCAAAACATAAAATTGATATTTATCTGCAACCTTTAATAAAGGAATTGACTTTGTTATGGGAGACGGAGTTAGAAACATTCGACATCTCAAAAAGTAAAACTTTATACTAAGGGCAGCTTTGATATGGATGATCAGTGACTTTCCAGCATATTCTATGTTATCAGGATGAAGTACTGAAGGTAAGTTGGCATGTCCTTATTGTATGGAGGAAACACAATCCTTTAGATTAGAACATGGGAGGAAAACATCTTAGTTTGACTGTCACAAAATGTTCCTTGATCAACATCATCCATTTAGGAGATATCGTAAAAACTTTCTTAAAAGCCAGACTGTCAAAAGACCACCACCACCCTATAGAACATGAGAGGAAATTCTGAATCAAATTTGTGACTTGGGAATAAGAAAAGTCACAGAGTTAGATGCGGAAGAATTTAATAAAAAGACTATGTAAGTCTTGTGGATGGAAAAAGCAAAGCATCTTTTGGGATTTGCCTTATTGGAGGTCTAGCATAATTAGACATAACCTTGATGTCATGCATATTGAGAAAAATGTTTTTGATAATGTGTTTAACATAGTTCTTAATATTTACGACAAAACAAAAGATAATCTGCAATCTTGTCTTGATATGGTAAGTTATTGCGATCGACCTCAATTGGCAAAGGATACTAGTGGAAAATACCCCAAAGCTATATATACAATAGACAAGGAACAAAAAGCTATCTTGTTCGATTGAGTGAAAAGCTTAAAGTTTCCAGATGGGTTGTTTCTAATTTGGGTCGATGTCCAGACACAAACACGAAAAGATTGTTTGGCATGAAAAGTCATGATTGCCATGTGTTCATGCAATGACTAATGCCTATTGCTTTTTGTGTACTACTTCCTAGTAATGTGGGCAGGCACTTACAGAATTGAGCTTATTTTTTAAAGATCTTACATCAACCACTCTACGAGTGGATGAAATGGAGAGATTAGAGAGAGACATCCCGCAAATTTTGTGCAAGTTAGAACTATATTTCCTCCTGGATTCTTTGACTCAATGGAACATCTGCCTGTGCTCCTTTCGTATGAAGCAATGATTGCTGGACCTGTACAATATCGATGGTTGTATCCTTTTGAAAGGTAAATGTGAAACATTATGTCAAACTTGTGACAAGTATACTAAACATAAATTTTCTAATGTAATGGTCCATCTGTTTATCTATTTAGGTATCTTGGAACTCTTAAAAGAATAATTGAAAATAAAGCTAGTGTTGAGGGTTCCATTTGTGAAGCATACTTGATGATAGAGTCAATACAATTATTTTCACATTATTTTGAACCTCATGTCATGTCACGTAATCATAATGTGGATCATAACGATGATGGTGGTGTTATGAATGATCTTGAAGGAAATCTGTCAATATTCACCCATCCAGGTCGACTATGGGGTGAAGCAAAAAAAAGGGATTTATCTTTGAAAGAAATAAAGGCAGCCCAAACTTACATTTTACTAAACTGTGAAGAGATTGAGCCATTTGTGAGGTAACAAAATTTAGTTTTATTCACTTAATATTATAAACATATCCATAGATCATGACTTCTAATTTAACTTATTTTATTGCCATGAAGTATGTACATACAACGTATGGAAGAAGAATTCCCTGATCTATCTCATGGTCAAATAAATGAGAGCCTTGAAACAAATTTCAGTGTATGGTTCAAGGAATATGTAAGGCTTCAAAAGTATTCATCTTTTATAAATGATACTTAAATTATCTTCAGAAACTTAACCAAGTGTTACAATTTTTTTAAATAGGTCCGATGCAATCATATTGAGAATAAATTTTTGTGTAGTCTTGCTCGTGGACCATTAATAGGTGCTACAAGTCATTCAGTGTTTTTCGTTAATGGATACAAATTTCACACATATTATCATAGTAGCGCAAGATCAACAATGAACAATGGAGTTTGTATCTCGGATCCAAATTTTGGTGACTACTATGGAAGGATAAAAGAGATTATACAAGTGAAATACCGTGAAGCACCCTTGAAGCAAACTGTAATATTCAAATGTGAAAGTGTGATCTTTTCCCTGTTTCAATGACTTCGCATTACTATCGGTTTGCTCATTTGCATTAGAATGCAAATGAGTCACAATGTTAGTGTTAGCATATTGAACAGAGTAACTAAAAGTATTATTCAGCATTTTAAGTATAATTTTTACTTTTTTCAGTTTTCACCAGACTGTCCTCATGTAACTTTTAGTATGTCCTTCCCAAGCTTGATTGACTAATTTGAGAAAAGTTTGATGATCTGTAATGCAATTAAAAAAATCTAAAAGTTGTATTAACTTTCATAACTAGCATGCCAGTATCTAACCTCTATTCCATGCACTGGACTACCTTATGGTCTATTTTTTGCTTGTAATATTGCATTATAATCACACTTCCTCTTCAGGTGGCCCTCTATACTTCACATACATTTATAAGGTATATATGCGCAACTTTCAGGTTATTCTGTTTTCATTTGTATAGGCTGTTGAAAAGGGTCGAGATCTAACACCAAGTGAGTTACATTTGCACGTTCATACACATGATCACGATGGAAAATCTTTTGTTGGTGAGCGTTTCCAAATTGTCCATGTAAGTCTAAAATTTTATAACTTCATTGACTTTATATTTGGAAATTTTAAAGGTTAAAATGCTAGGTGCCAACACTATAGAAGTTTTTGACCTTCTTATTAGTAGGGCAGTAGCTATACTATGTTAATGTGAATTCATATGGTTCCAACTCTGTGAGCTTGACTTTTAGTTTGAAAGGTTATTTGAATTCTTTTTAGTGGGCCAGTAGATTAGGGTAATTCTCGAGCATTAGCTGTCTGGAATTGAGTTGGTGAATAGGACGGAAAGCCCATTGAGTTGGAGAAAAATGACTAACTCAGACTCTACCATCTTAGCGTCCTGCAGTTTGGCTTGAACTACATTTTCTTAAATATGTTACCGCACTAGTCACTTTCGCTTTTCATGTCTTGATTTATCCTTTGTTTGCTTAGATGATAAGTGAATGAGACTCAAAATGTGTGGGGTAATCTTTTCCCCCAAAGAGTATGCAGGTGAAAGATTTGGTTAAAAGTGTTTACTGCTACTACTGAAAAGCTGATAGTATCGTATGATATGGCCAATTTTTTACATTTATTGAAATATTAATGTGGATTATAGATGCAACCATTCTGACTTTTACCACATTCCAGAGATGTACCCATCTCGAATAAGTTTTGATTTTTGCCATTACAGATACTTATATTCTTAAAAAGAGTTTACTTTTTAGTGTGAGGCACCTTTTAAATTTTGACATAGATGAATCTACAATGTAACATATAGGTTCACGTGAATTTAAGTTGTAACTCCCATGGATGAAATTCCACCTTTTAGAGGGATTATACATGGTTTGAAATAGGAAAGGAACTTCTTAGTTTCATGGCGCTGCTTTTCACGATATTGAACAGCACGCCCACCAAGAGCTGCATATAGTTCAACAGTTTTTATGGCAGCAACACCAGCTTCATCCTAATAAAACAGACTCAACTATGATAACATTAAAATAACATTGGCTGCATAATCTTCTAATAGAAACAAACCTGACTAGTATCTTCACCGAGACAATAATGAATATCATGCCGTAAGGCACCAGTTTTTGAAGCGCTGGTCTGAAAATGAGGAGAAATAAGGCCTCAGAGGAACAAGTACAGCAGTCTATAAAAAAGTTATACCGAAAAGTAATAGCAGTCTATAACATTTCTAAAAAGAACGTTTTCTCAAGGATATTGTGCCTACGGATACTTCAATAAATTCTCTATTTCCAGAATTCTGAAACAGGTCTACATCTGAGAATTTTCTCTAGGCCAAGCAGAATTGATGTTTTTTCCTTATCTTCTTAAATCTTGACAGTCTCAACAATTTTAACTTATACGCATAATCAAACTAAAGAATAACATGTATGAGGTCTAATAAATATTTTTCACTCGATCAAATTTACCTACAGCCACAGTAAATCGTACAATCCAAAAGAGAGGGGAAAGAATAAGCCCTTCTAGCTGACAAATCTGACATATTAAGCTGCTGGTCAAACCATGTAACATAAATGCAATTTGCAACTTGCAACCTTCCTCATGAGTAGGAACTATCTGCATTAAAAATGTATCGCAACATGGTGCACCTGGAATGGGATCTGGTGTGCCATAATTCACGAAGTTGGCACACATTGATACCGTTGTCACTGTGCTGTTTTAGTGCGAATTTGGTGCTACAGTTTTGGGGCAATTTCGAGGTCTGTTTTTGGTGTTTCTATCGTGCTGTTTTTGGTGTTTTTATCGTGTTGTTTTTGGTGCAGTTCCAATGCTTTTCTGGTGGTTTTGTTGGTGCAAGTGTAATGGTAGTTTTAGAGGTGATTTTGATGCTGCTGTTTTGGTCTAATTCCAATGCCGTTTTGATCCTTTTCTCTGTCCACTTTCTTTGTTTTATTTCGGAGTATTTTTTACTTTTCTGAGGGGAAAGGATAACAAATTTGTGTAAATGTTGAATGTTGTGCTTTTTAAGGTGTTTAAGAGTTTAAGTATGACTTTCTTTTTAAGGTGTTTAATTTCTATTAAATTAAAGATAGTTTTTTTTTGTTTCAAATAATCTTCCAGTCACCTTTTGATACAATATGTATTAATTTTACTATTTATTACAGAAAAGATATGAAGAAATATTGCGAGAAAAAACAGATTCTCAGAAAGATATTGATCAATGTGAAGCATATTACGAAGCCGCGGGAGGAGAAAAAAAGAAAAAAATATATGGTCTTGGAACTAAAGGAAAAAATTACTATGGGTCAAAATCTTTTGTCTCTTCTGGATCTAATGCTTCATCATCAGTACCACTTTCGGTTTCTCAACCAGCAACAACCAATATGTCTGAGTTTGTGATGCAAGTGATTCCTGAACTTATTGATCACATTCTTCTCGTAGTTCTTGAGCGGGTACATGAAGTGATTTCTTCACCACCTACTGATAATCCATCAGGTGTGACACAAGTAGTTCCTCCTGCTAGTACAAAATAGTAGCAAACAAAATTTTGTTGCTAATCCAATTTAGCAACGAATATACGCAGATTAGCGACGGATATCGTGCGTCGCTAAACGCTATTTTTTTTGTAGTGGAAGGAAAAAATATCTTCATGAAATTTGACATCCCTAGAGATAAAAACCTTCTTTGTTTAAAGATTCAACAACTTGTATCCTTTCTTTGCGCTTGGATATCCCAGGAAAACACAAGGTATAGATCTATGTTCTAGCTTGGTTCTATGTGGAAATGAGTGCATGCATAGGCAAGACAACCAAAAACCTTGAGATTCTCATAAATAGGAGAGACACCAAATAGAACTTGATAGGGAGTTCTAAAATTGAGTACCTTTGAAGCAAATCTATTTATGAGATGAGTAGCCGTGAGCAAACAATATCCCCAAAAATGCATAGGGAGTTTAGATTGATAGAGTAAAGCTCTACAAGTCTCCAAAAGATGTTTGTACTTTCTCTCAACTACTCCATTTTGTTGAGGATATTATAAACAGGTAGTTTGATGTATAATACCCTAAGATGAGAGGTAACTGGAAGTTTCAAAACTGCTTCCTAGTTCAAAGGCATTGTCTGACCTAATGATTTTAATCTTCTTATCAAATTGCCTTTCTATCATTGTTAGGAACTGTTTAAGTATTGAAAAAGCATTAGACTTAGCACTTAGGAAGTAAGTCCAAGTTCCTCTACTAAATTCATCAACAATGGTTAAAAAATACTTATATCCATCATGAGTAGAAAGTTTATAGGTCCCCAGATATCAATGTGAATGAGTTCAAAAAATTCTTTTTGTTGAAATGGAACTGGAATGAAAAAGTAATCTTACTTGTCTTGCCTCAACACAAATTTCACATGGATCAAGTAATGAAGAAGAATATGGAATGTTGGAAATATTTCTCATATTAGAAACAGGCAAATGCCCTAATCGACGGTGCCATATGAGTACATCATTTGAATTGACAGTTGAACATGAAATTAAATGTAAAGACTGATCACTAGTTCTATTACATTTTAATGAAATGGACTAGTGTCCTTTATTCTACTTAAACTGCTGACATGAGACTTGAAAGGAAATGGACTATTGTCCTTGATTCTACTTAAGTTACTGGTACTAGGCTTGAGTGAATGTAGAAGATAAATCCTTTCCTTCTATCTGATAACAAATTGTATAGAATCAGCCTTTTGACAAAACCTATGAACTGATAACAAATTGTATCTGAAACTAGGAAGATACAAGACATTAGAGATAGTGAAATTGGGCAGAATTAATACACATCCAGCCTGAGTGACTTTAACTCTTTGTGAATTAGGAAGATTTACATAAACATGCTTGATAAGAGTTTGAACATTGAACAAAAGGTTAAAATCACATGTCATGTGTTCTGCTGCACCTGTATCTAATATCCATATAACAAAATTAGATTTTGAAAGAAAAGAATGTTTAGGAAAACCAGCACAGTTGGCAGTCACAGTGACCTCAAAACTCATCTTCTCTTGAGAATCATGTTTGACCTGTTGCACCAATTGGCAAAGATGATTGTATTGTTCCTGAGTGATCCCTTTCTCCAAAGTAGGAACAGAGTGACTTCCCTCATTATCATTCATGGTTGTTGCATTTCCATAAACATTACCAGATTGCATTCTCTTTCCTTTTGTGAATTTGAAGTCCGTAGGGAAACCTATTATCCTGTAGCACTTGTCAAAAGAATGCCCAACCTTTTTACAGTGAGAACAAATGAGACAATTTCTCTTTGCATTAGAATCTCCTCTCCTGTCTACATTGAATGGTTTGTGACTTTCATTTTGTTGCCTTGTGGCTATAAAGGCAGATTCAATGAAGCGTTGTTCAACATGCATCTCTATTTGCTTCTCATCCTGGATCAGAAGGGAATAAGCATGGTTAGCACTGGGCAGTGGAGAAACCATAAGGATGTTGCTCTTTACACCTGAATATGTCTCATTTAGTCCCATAAGGAACTAAATGGGCATGTTATCTTGTTGAGACTTGAATGCCTTGGCTTTACCTCCACAAGAATAGTCACAGGAGCAATGATTGCAGGTATCTAGGCTATCTAATTCATCCCAGATTCTTTTCACCTTCGTGTAGTATCCTGCTATGTTGGAATTTCCTTGAACTAAATCACTTAGTTCTTTTTGCAAATGATAGAGCAAAGATCCATTGCTTTGACCAAATCGGTCCTTCAATTCCTTCCAAATAGTCCTGGCAGTTTTGAAGTACAGGACGCTCTCTGCAATGTCTTTTGATAAAGAGTTGAGAAGCCAAGAGATCACCATGTCGTTACCCCAATTCCAGAGTTAATGTGTTGGATCTGAAACCAATGGCTCTATGATTGAACCATCCACGAAACCCAATTTGTTCTTCGCAGTAAGAGCTATGAAGACTTCTCTCCTCCAACCACCATAGCTCTTGCCATCGAAAATAGTGTTGACAAGAATAGTATCGGGTGAGTCAAAGGGATGAAGAAATAAAGGATGAGCAGATTCAATGTTGATGGTGGTTTGAATAGTTTGACTGCCGGAAGAGGTATCATTAGTTCCCTCGGTGATTGAATTAGGGTTAACCATAGCGAGAGAGTATCAGAAAAACAAAATTGAAATTGAGAAGAAGAATAAGAGATCTTAAGGATCTATGGCTCTGGTACCATAAAGAACGAGATAGTTGAATGTTTTATATATATCTTATTGAACATGATTTACATGTATTTGTACAACCAAAATAAAGGAACGTGTGTTCCAACTACTGGAGAATAAAATGGGTGATGGATAACATGGCCAATACTATAACTGACTAAGAGAATAAAAAGGAAAATAAAATAAATAAAAGAAATCTGTTTTTCAGCTAAAAAAGACTTCCAGAAGACTTATTTATTTCACGTGACATTTGAAGTTGAGAATTTCCCAGTACCTTTTCCACCATGAGTTCCATCATGTGAAACAAAATCAAATCCAACAAGGGTTGCCAAGTGCTATCAAAGAAAGGGGCAGGACTCAAAGCAGGAAGGACAAAGTGACGTCCAAGCTCATCTTGTTGAAGGTAATGAAGTGATTGTTGTTGTAGTCGTTGAGGCAAATCTGGTGGCTAACAAAATTGGTTGGGTGCTAAACATAGGCGCTTCAAGACATTTCTGTGCCAAAAAAGAGTTATTCCATGACTTTGAGGAGTCAACTGATGGAGAGTGTGTTTACATGGGAAACTCCACTACAGCTGAAGTTATGGGTAAAGTAAAAGTTTTACTTAAATTAACTTCTGGAAAAACTTTATCCTTAAACAATGTTTTGTATGTTCCCTCCCTCCGTAGAAACTTAGTTTTCGGAGAACTTCTCAACAAAGTAGGCCTTAATCTTATTTTTGAAGCTGATAAAATAATTATTTCTCGTGGAGGAGACTTTGTTGGGAAGGGATATCTTAGTGGAGGCTTATTTGTACTGAACATTGTTCAGGAGATTGTCAATAACACAAATAGTTCAAATTATGTTTATATTGTTGGGTCTATTAATTTGTGGCATGGTAGACTAGGTCATGTTAATATTGCTTCTATTAAAAGACTTAGAAAAATGGAATTAATTCCTATGATAAAAATTGATAATTTTTCTTAATGTCCTGTATTTAGAAGCAAAGCATGTCAAGAAACCTTTCAAATATGTTATTAGTAGAAAAATTGAATTACTTGAACTAATACATTCCGATTTAGCAGATTTCAAGAACATTGTTAGCGAAGATGGAAAATAGTATTACATTACTTTTGTTGATGATTTTTCTAGATACACTAAGGTATAACTTCTTAAGTCTAAAGATGAGGCTGAAAGTATGTTTTTGAAATTCAAAGCAGAAGTGGAAAATCAATTAGAAAGAAAAATCAAGAGATTCAGATCTGATAAGGGTGGTGAATATAGTACTAAAACTCTAGATAATTTTTGTGAGAAAAATGATATTATTCATGAGGTTAGTGCTCCATATACTCCCCAACAAAATGGTGTAGCCGAACGGAAAAATAGAACTCTTAAGAAAATGATGAATTATATGCTTATAAGCTCTGGTTTATCTGATAATATGTGGGGAGAAGCTGATAACAGCAAGGTTAAAGGAGATCACAAATAGAGAATTGAATATTAGAATGCGGAAGCACAAGAAAAGAAACAACAAAACTAACTAAAGATATGGGAGATTCGAAGGAAAGATCCACGAATTTCCAAGGATTAGATGTTCTAAGGTCTTGAAAAGATCCAAGTAACAACGTATAGATTTATGGAAGAAATCCAACGCCTTTACTTGAGAAAACGAATCAAAACGATAGATTCGGATCTTGACCGCTTTATGAGTAACTAAAGACAATAATTATTATGTAGAAACTAATCACCTTCTAAAGAATACCAAAAAAGAAACCAAAGATATCACAAGAAGAAATTACTTTATACCTTAAACTATGAAACTAGTAAAGGTTTAAAGATAAATTCTCAAAGAACAAGTCACGAAGGTTCAAAGAACTCTCTCAAATATAATTAATATCAATGTAAAATTGTCTTTAATGAATGAAA